CACACACACACACACACACACACACATACACACACACACAAATAGAAGGAGGAATAAAGACGATAGATGTTTGATAGAGAAGAAGGAGTCAATTACACACGAGCATACTCCAACCACCTTTCCCATTTACATATCATATCAGTCCTAGCCAGCCTTCTCACCTCCACCGCTCCGCTCCCTCTTCCGTTTATTCACAAAACCTTTGCGTCTTTACTCATCGCTACGTTCCCACTAATCCGCTTTTAACTCTTTAAAGTCGACATTTTGGACACATCTCCCAGGAATATTTTTGGGTAAAATTTTCTCACCAAAGCGGCCAATGAAAACCACCTCTTGATAATATATAGGAATACAGGTATGTCATAAATAAAATCAAAGTTAATTGTATACAGAAGTTGAAAGAAATAGTGATCATGAATGAATCAATAATTATGTTTGCCGTTGTCGAGTAAAAGGTTCCGAAGAAATAAAGGAAAAGATAAGGAGAAATACCTACACTCTGGCAGCCTTTTTTCTTGGTTGTGGGATTTCCGACTAACTCTGAGACCACCTACCCGTGTTTAAATAGTTAATCACCCCCATCCATCCGCCCTCTTTTTACTCACAACCACATCCACCTCACTCACTACTTTCACCCCCCCCCACCCCATCCGCTATCCCACCTTTCCCCCACTCTCCCTCCTCTCCCATCTTTACTTACAACACGTATTTACTATTTCTACTACTTCCTCCACCCTCCTCCCTCTCCCCTTCACTCACAACATATAATATTCGGTCTAGTTTCCCTGACGATACCCTCTCTCCCCTTTACTCACAACATCTGTTTCGCCTACTACCCCGCCCACCTCTTCTATTACTTCTACTCTCCCCGTACTCACAACAACTATTTCATCTGCTTCCCTCCCCCATCCCTTCTATAATTACTACTCTTTCTTCCCTTTATTCACAACATCTATTTCATCTACTTCCCTCGACCACCAACCGTCCTATCTTTTACAAAAATTCTCCACCGTACTCACAATATCTACTTCGTCAACTTCAATAAGCTGGATCATAGGGTCTTGTGAATTGGTAAGATCAGTAGCACCCATCATCACGTACACAGATCCTTCCGCGCTGGAGGAAAGTGAAAGAAAGCACATTGACAAAGGAAAACCATCGTTTTTACAGCAGTAGTAGCAGCAGCAGCAGC